TCATGTTCATCTTCCTTGGAAATTGCTTTTTGATAGTAATGTGTAGCTTGGTGTCGAGCATGATTGTCGTAATGGGTTGCCATAGTCGCTTAATTCGGAGAAGGAATTGTTGGAAAAACCCATGAGCAACTGTAACTTTTTAACTTTATATTACAAATATAACGGGTGCTTCAAGAGCCTCAGTAGATTACATGGTTTGTTTTGGCATTAACGTAACACACACTACATTGTAGCATGTTATTAACAAATCAGTGTTAATGTTGTATGAATATGAGTTCCATCACCAGGCAACCGGACTTTATTTCTTGTAATCACCAATAATAACAAACAACATTGCCAGAGAAAACACTTGCTGACAATGCAGTGCAAAATGAATGTTTGTGTAGGCTGGAGAAATATTTTGAAAACACCTCTCAGTTCTCGTTGCGTGAATAAAGACCGATTTGCTGAAAAACAACGATCACAGAGGCAAGCTGCATTTTGTCGACAGGCTTCTTAGTTGAAACGCTTGAGAGAAACGAACAGAATTGCAGCCCGTCCTCATCGCATTACAAAAAACACCAAGGTTGTGATCGGTACAGAATCTTCGTATTTAAGTAGTCAGCGGATGCTCTGAATAATACTGTTAAGTAACTGCGGGAGAAGCTCTGGAAGAAATCTTACATGTAGATTCCTTATGTACTGCAAAAACTTCTGGTGTTAAAATCAACACTTTTGGTGTTATCAGATGACCACACCATAGGGTGTTACTTTAAAACCTCTGATGTTACTTTGCACACCTATAAGTGTTACAGTGCATTGGAGAGTGTTAAAAGTAACACAAATAACACCAAAATGTTTAATACCAGTGAAAAGAGTTGGCGTAGTCCTCAAACAATACCAGGGGTGTTAAATTTAACACCCCAGTTTTTGCAGTGTGTCGTGGTTATGTTTATTGTGCATACCGTGTTTAGTTGTAGTTTGCTGCAACCTGTTCACACGAAGTACCTTCTAGCTATTCTGAATGATTGTGCAAGAAGGTCTTGAAAATTCTTTTGATTGTAGTGGATATGATGTTCTGAACTCTCTGTCTCTCCTGTCACATGTATGATGATATTGTCCTTCCTTGAGGAAAAAGCCTTGTGGCGGCGCCATCGCTGATCACGTGAACTATGATTCGCTTCATTGCAAATTATTTCCAATTTACTTCGACCTTTGAATAGGAAAGGAGCATGCACAGTGTCATTTCAGATCCGTAATTCCATCTTTCAATTTCACTGAAGGAATACATACAACAGAGGTTGGATTGGACCAGGTGTATCCAACCCTCCAATAACATGAATGGCATCACAAAGTATACCATATTATGGAAAAAATACACATTTCTGTGCAGGAAAGACAAAGGAGGTGTCTCAATTCGAAAGTTTTTTTCTGCAATCAAGGATTATCATCAAGGACCGTTACGCGCATATGTCAGTGGAAATGGTCTTTAAGAATGTCATGCTGTCACCTGATCTTGAAGTTGCCCAAGACAGTCACATCGTTCCAGCTCTGTTGATTCGCTGCCTGGGTACCAGATCTGTCTTCCGGTGTATACGCCAGGAATAAAGATGCATAAGATAAGATGTTGCTGTGTCTATCCCCTGTTTATTGCATGCATCTCAAAGCTGATGTGGTGAAAACCGAAAAGAACGTATGAAGAATGGCGAATGAATATTAGAGTACGCCACATTAAATAAGAATTTCACGTCAAAACTTATCAAATTTATACTTAGGTTGAGTACACATTTGAGAAAACAAAATAATAACTTTAATACGAGCCGTATGTGGGATTTATGCACACATGGCATACGCTGTGGAGTTGCAGATATCTAGGGCTACAGCATTTTTCTGAGGTTACAGCGTCTACCTGAAATTACAAAATTTAATACTTCTAAAAATACTCCAAAGATATTACCGCACACTTGTGTACAAAGTCTTCGCATGATAAATACAAAGTTACATACAAGTGTATACGGTGGTATGTACTCTTAAGTCCCGAGATATAAGAAGCACAATGCTATGAAACTCCAACAATGAAGGACTGGTATTAAGTCTATTTCAATGCATGCATATGTATGTGAAATGAATATAGCGGCCATGTACATGTATGCCGCAAGATTGTATCACGTGACACACAAAAATGCACCTTCTAAGTCACTATTGGCTAAACAGTTTAATATTCAACGCTGGGTTAGGAGACATTCTTAAGGTAACATAATCAATTGGAATCTAAATCTTTATTGCTGGCGATAACAAGATCAATAACAAATAACAAATATTTCACATTTTAATTGTTCCTAAACGTACCTTTTTATTGCATTATCTCAATTTGTAGCTGTATTTTTAACGTATTCATATGAGTGTCGTTTTTTTGTTATATACTGTAAAGTGCCTTAATTAGAGCCCATGGGGATTAGGCGATATATAATTATGGTATAATAATAACAATAACACATAAATCTGATGTTCAAGAAACAAAAATAGTAACAATTAAAAAGTTTCTACATAAAAAAGCACGTGCACAGTGGGATAAAAATTGCGTAGATGATATTTTCTTACACAACGTTGGCGGGAATGTCTAACTCGAATATGTACGTATGGCGCCGAATATGCGCCGATTGTTTTGAAAGACCACCGAGGTAACCCACATGCTGCATGCAATATTACTGTCTTCTGGCTTACATTTGGCATGCAAAATTAACTGTTAATAGGCTACATATATCTGTGGCCGGTCACTGACTCTGCCTTTGAAAAACAATATGCCTCGATTGATGCAGTTCTTGATAATGACAGAATCTTGAATAGGGTTATTATTCTAGAGGTTAACGACCTGGTGGAGTTGTGAAAGTCCTTTGTGATTTTATCGTTTTCTCCCAGTTTCTGGTGCTTCGAACGGTTGTATTGGTTGAATTAAATTTGTAAAATTACGCACTAGAAGCCAGTCTTGGCACGCCCTTATAACCCTAACCCCTGGATTTTGAGATATCATATTATAACAACGGAAAATTGAGGAAACGTGGTAAAAAAGGCTTCCCTCCTGAGTACGTCTGTAATGCTTAACTGTAGTACAGTTTGGTGAAATTCACCGAAAAGGCTAAAAACCACTCACTTAAAAGTTCACAAATATTAAAATAAAGTGCAGGCTCGTGAAAAGCTACAACCTGCCCTAGAATGAAGTGACCAAGATGGTGAAACCATTGTGAACTTCCTTGGAAGGAATTGATCACTCATGCTGAGGGAATGGACTTTTCAGTCTTTCAAATCGTGGAGATTGTGAGCTCAAGGTAACCAAGCGATAGGATGTCAAATCCAAGGACAGAGACTGGGGGAGACTGTTTGCCCAGCATTTGATCTTGCACTTTCCTCTTGATCCGAGTTATAGCCAAGGGGAGTGCGGAAGACAGTAAACCGACTCTTGACCCGACTGGGCAAATACAGATGACGACAGGCTCCGAGAGTACGGGAACAGTTTGCCTTGGAATGGTGGACATGTCTGCTAAAAGTGCACTTGGGCATTTGCTCTACAATGTAAGGGAGGAACCGTTTACACCAACTGAATGAAACACACATTAATTGATATAACGGGTTTTGCCCTTACCCAACGTATATAATTATATTGGTAAACACTTTATTCTCAGTGTTTGTCCGAGGGCTTGCGAAAACAAAATCACAAGCTTACTCGGGTTGGACTCTAACCCACGACCTCCTGCTTACTAGTGCAGACGTCTTAACCACTTGACCACCGAGCTTGCCGGGGTCGGCTGGCTGGTCCCAGTCAGGTGAAGCAGCGGGTACCGCGAACTATTTTCAAGATATATTTTTGCGTTGGGAAGATGTTAATTTATATAAAGGGTTTGCCCTTACCTGACGTGTAATATTGATGAACACTGTATGCTCAGTGCCTGTCCGAGAGCTTGCGAAAAATGCACAAGCTTAATCGGGTGGACTCGAACCCACGACCTCCTACTTACTAGAGCAGACGTCTTACCTACCCGACCACCGAGCTTGCCGGGGTCGGCTGGCCGGCTGGCCGGTCCGAATCTGGTGAAGCAGCGGGATAGATATCAATATAATTATACGCTGGGTAAGGGCAAAACCCGTTATATAAATTAACATCTCCCCAACGCAAAAATACATCTTGAAGAAACACACATTGTCAGACATCAGTTGGCTGGGTGTCGTGCGGGAAGTCCCCAAGGCCTCCACAGTGCAGGCAGAATTATAAGTCAAGGGGTCCAGGAGTGAAACCGAATACTGCGTTTGCTTTAGCATAGCACAAAAGCGAGAACATGGAATAATGTCAGGCAAGCACCCGTGACATGCGGGGAGGCGCATATTGATCGAGACTGATATCGTCGAGCTGAATCTCTTAACCCAGATTGTAATGAGGGTTAAAACTAAATGCGGTTTAAAAAAACAGTACGTTTGAGTAAATTACAGTTTGGAATGTGAGACTTCATATATTCATATGTATACCCTTAATATACACCCGGTTAATGTTAGTAAACCTTACACTATTAAACATCGTAGTGCTTTACGCATGGGACGTGAAAGGTAATTCTGCGTATTAAGCAGATGATTATGATCCTTCTCCACCAAACAATGCAATTCTTGACACAATATAAAAACCGATGTTTGTTGAAAAAGTTGAAATACGTTTGTTTATGCGATTTCACTTTAATACTAAGAAATACACGCATTTATCCATTCAAGACGCAGTTTTTACCGTAATTGAAAAACGTCTTAAATATAATTATAACCAATGATGGTTGCATGGTTTTATCTTTCATTTTCGTTTTCATACCTGTTTGTTTTACATCGTAGTTCATGGTCACCGCGCCCGAAACCATGCAACGTTCGTTGTGAACAACACATCTTAAGGCGTGGCATATTGAAATCTCTGCTTGAAATGAATATTGTGACTTCAAACCATGTGTCAGGTTTAGTATACAATTTGCTGATTTCTCAATTCGTTTCAGGAGTGTGACGCCATAGTCTCTTTTTTCTCGCAACATTGACAATGGAGGCGCAAGGAGGAACCAATGAGGTAAGTTCAGGAACCAGGTGTAACACGTTGACAATGGATGCTTGGCATTTTGCCAACATTGCCTGAAATACGAGCATTGGGTCCGGCTGTTTGATCTAACCGACGTCATTTCAAGTCGCTGTCATTCAAATGCCAATCACAAAGCCCCACGGCGATGTCTCCAAGGTGCGGAAACTTGCAACCGCGCAGCATGTGGAGTCTAGTGACAGTAACATAAGCTATAATCACTGGGAAAGCTAGCAACAAATGCCAGCTCAGTTTTAATCCCTTCTGGAGTTCCCGCGACCCTTAACATTTGCAGTATTGTTTTGAAATAAGTGGAACTTCAAAGTGAGGAAAAAACAACACTTCCCGTTTTTGCCCTGTTTGTTTTACTACACACATCGCTTTTATTAAATGAAAACACAACAGATGGTGCTTAACTGAGCTTCAGTTTCCCAGCTTTTAGCAAGGACAGTTTTCCTGACAATCTGTAAATACATTTTGAAAGTTATCTTGCAGTCCAGGGTGAATACGGTGCTCGTGTGGGGCTCTTACAGTGTGAAAAATGCAAACTGCAAGGAAAAAAGCTTGATGCCCACTTCAAGGACAATTACAATAATAAAGACATTCAAAGCTGCAGTCTTGGCAATATAGTTCCTCATACCAATGGGAAAACAGCCTGAGGAAACATACTACTAAAATGCTTTGGTATCCTTTCTTCCCGAAGACTGATCATTTCTCACATAGCAAAGTATCTAAACGCATCCGTCTGGATTTTAATATGCAAGGAAACAGTTTGGCAGGGGAATTTTGGTTTAACTTTGTTTTGTTTTGCCTCTCTTGTTTGGTTTATTTATTTGTTTGTTTTTTTGTTTGTTTTTAGGCAGTCATTGCCCATTTCGAATTGGAATTTTTCTTTTATACGTTGCAAGACAAGCACAACTTACGACATTGGTCCCAACCGTTAAGTGGGGAGCCTTGAAATCATTCACGTGAATGCTGACGTCAGGAATATCTGTAGATGAGGTAACCTGACCAGTACCGTTCGGATCATATTTCCTTGTTCCCGTTTGTCTTTTGCACTTTCCATATTTCCGTAAAAATCACCGCTGGTTGGGCGCATTAGAATTGCAATTTCTCCAAGAAAGCTCGTCCACCCTCAAAATGATCCTCAAATCACGGGATCAGTTTTCCCGAAGACCGACCACGATGTTGACTCTGCATTGAAACATTACTCAGGATGTAATGAATAACACTTGTAACGCCACACAAATTGAAATGGTACCACTAATATATCGACACTCGCGTTAAAAAGCAATCAAATTTCAATCTGAATTGGCAGCAGGTACCGAATGAGAGCATTGGTAAAATTATAATTAGTAACAGTTCGAAAACTATCCCTGATTTTGGCACGGTTTTGTAATTCAAAGTACAAAACGGGGCTTCAAAACCAACCAAATGCTAGGTTGCTGGGTAACAAAATGCCAAGAGTATAGCTTTCCCAGACAGAACCCAATAGAGCCCAAAAGCTTACCCCGCGCTTCCGGAACCCTTGGATGGGGAAATTACGTGCAAATATTTTAGAATTTGTTTTTTTTGTTCAGTTACTTCTTAAAAAATCCAACCTAGAAAAGGGGATTTGGAAAATATTTGCTGGTATATAAATTTATAGAAACTGAAAACTCACCTGACTTAAAGAAGAAATATCCTGCCAAAAATTGACTCATCACTTCCGAAAATCTAAAATGCACGAAGAACAGTGCAATGCAACAGTCTCGTACGCAGATGAACATTTACAGTGTGAAATTTTATGGCAGTGTGTCAGTAAAAGCTGAAATAAAAACAGATCAAAATATTTGACACTCTTCTATAATTTGTAAGGTAATAAACTTAAAGCAATATTCTACTTTTACGAAAGATTCTAATATTTTATCTAAGCTTTGCTGACAACTACTGCGTGATGTCAGCTCAACAGAATCTGGATCCCATTGACTGCAGGTGGGTAGATCTTTGCACCGTTGTACAATCTCGTTTTTACGAAAGCACAGGGAGTGAAAACAAACGTGCAAGGAGACCTATGTACGATATCGTCGGACGTGAAAGGTCATTAATGGAATTCGTTAATGGAATCCTAAATATAAAGGAAGACGAAGGTAAAATTCCAACATGAGTGTTTCATGGGGTGGTTTAAGTCAGGAATTATTCTTCCAAAAATTATCGAACGTGATAGGACGGCCCAATATAAATTCCCCACAGGCAGACCGCGCGAGGGTTCCGGAAGCTCGCTGTGTGACCTTTTACTTTCAGGCTCTATGGACGGATGTCTTTTTTCAATAGGCCTACAACTTCAACAACATAGTAGTAACATGATAACCCAGCCTTGTGACATCAACTTTTCACGCATGCATGCACAACCAGAAGATTAATCGCCAACCTTTAGGACAAACGGATTGAGTATTTTTCGACCTATTCGAATTTTCCCAGAGCCAAATTGGGGCATACCCGTATTTGGTATAACCACATAGAGGGTTGATTCATCCAAGTTTTTGACAACTTATGGGAATGCTCTTGTAAATACTGCAGGTAGTGGAGATTGGGCCAAAGTTGGGTAGAGTTACGTGTCCCATGAAACACTGAATTGAAGACGGAACACTTTGACTGCGACGTAGGAGGGGGCGTGATTTTGGGTCACTTGGTAACTGTCCTGTCTATTTCTAATTACAATCCATGGTTTTTATGACATTGTGTGGCTGCTTGTGGGTATAATGCAGCAACAGTTTCATCAGTGGAAGCGTTGGAAGCTGTCAGATAAGTCTGCGGGGTTTTATGTAAACGCCCTTGGACGCTTTCGCCCACAACTTCAGAGCCTTGGTTATATGCACGGTAATCCTGGCGAACTGCCTACCACTGCAATATCTATTAGGCCTATGTACATCTTCAAGGTCTTCTTCTACTGATTGATACACTGAATGTTCACAAAGAGAGGACACCATAACCCTGGAGAGAAAATTGATACCCTTAGGGAAAATCCTTCAGTGCAGCTTTCAGAAAAAGTCCGTTCGGCGGCTGTGGGAATAAGAGGGTCCAAAGGCCATGCGTAGGCGTCTACTTCCTCCATTCACAAGCAAACAGGCGGGAGCACTATTGGTCAGGCTTGGCGGCTTCTCGGTGAAAAAGTGGGTTGCCTCCAACGATTGTATCTCTTCTTCGAAATCACGTGAAATGGACATTGTGTTTTTATATTTGATACCGATTTAGCTCATCTGATGACTATTGCATGTAGATCTACGCGAATCTTTCTGTAACAACGTTGGCCAGACGTAAAAAAGTGTGTGCTTACTTCAGCGGCAAAACGCATACATTACATTATGCTGTCGGCGGCGTAGTCTACGAATTCGGTGTTTTTATGTGGTTTCAAACTTACGTTAATGGCGTTGTTATGATAGGACCTACACTCCTGTGAAAGAATAAAGAGTATGGAAACAGATTTTTTCCAAGGAAGCGCAGAAATCGATCTGGGTGCAGAATTCAAAGTGTCGCATTTCGCATTATGTTGGGCCTTTTTCTTGGTCAACTGACTTTACCACAGAAAAATAAAGAAAATCCTTTTTCACAAAGATCTCTCGGATGTCGGGTGGGGGGGCACCGGACGACAGATGACTTCTCACTGCAAAGATACAAAAGAGATTCCTTTGGGTAGCTTACATACCGATCGCGCGTGAGTTATTGTAGTCGGCTTGGAGAGTAACAGATATGATATTTCAGCCTGCTCGGGGATCTGTGTAAGGCTAGCCCCTAAGAGCTCGTAACCTTTGCAGTTTATGTTGGAGAACAATTTTCAGCTTTTGTTGTTTTTCTTTCACTAATCATTGTTCTTACAAGAACTGTTTTGGGCGGAGGAGGGACTGGTCCGCGTGGGTTTCTTTTGAACGGGATTTTCAAAAATCCACATTGAAAAAGCTTTGCCTTTGAATCACGTGAATCAACTTGAAAGTTAAAAAGAAAGTTCTTCTATAAACTTATCATGGATCGCAATTATTTTCTCAGTAATTTGAAGAGTCGACGCTTAAACCAGTATGAGCTTCGTTTGTCATTAAAATCGACACGTGGTATTGAATTACATGGACTACAGCATTATCGTCCATCCCCGTGTGTAGCTTTTGCCATCGTGGGAATGCAGTGTTAGGTAATATAAATCGAGTCGAGAAATCTTCAAGGAGCACGATGGCGTTTTTTTCTCTTTGGGCCGCTGGTCGCGCGTGAATTAAGTTGTTAAATTTCCGCTATTCACTTATGGATGATAATTCAATTCCTTTGCTCCCGGAGAATGAAACTCTTCACCCTCGAGGAGCAGAAGTGATCAAGTTTCGGAGGGTAATTTTTTGCCCGACAGTACATACCATTTGCCTTTTTCTTCACTGTCCATGGGGTCCATCAGCATTGTTTATTCCTTGTATAAAAAGGTGAAACTAGCAAACACTTGAACATCAGAAAATGTCCTATCTGTCCAAGGACTTCAAAGTTATACCCCCCTGAGAGGTCTTATACACGTTTCCATCATGTAAAGATGTGTCTTCGTTTCAACTCCACGAGTGGGATACCATTCTGCCTTGAAAAATAAGTTCACCCTATTATCGTAAACTGTACTTGTTTTTTAATCGTCGGTATCCATAAATGGCAATGCAGAGGTTTCTACCGCTTCTGTCGGATGAGATTACAACCGGTTCCTCCCTCGTTTAGTGCAGGAACGCGATTATGCCTAATTCACTTTATGCGTATGACGTCACATTAGAGGGCGTTTTTTTCTTCTCAGGGCTACAGTCGTGTAAACCTTTTAGTGCATTCATTGTAACGATATTAAAATAACAAAGATCAGCCACCAAGACACCAGTAAGGCATAACATCTATTCAGCTGTATCTTTTTTCATGAAAACTGTGTAGATGAATACGTGAAAATAGGCCAACCTGGTAAAGAGTCTGCTATTTTCTAAGTATTCACTGTGGAATACAAATTACAT